CTAAAAACTATAATAGCAAAAAGTCTCTGCCTGAACTATCATTCTGCAGCATATTATTTTATCCCTTGTTTCAGCTTTGTGGCTCTGTGATACAGAAACACGGGGTGGGGTGGTAGTGGAAATTATTCAATTTGCATCTGGATGTAAATGTATTTAATTTTGCATTTTCAAATTAGCATGCAAATCAAAAACCCAGTGAACGTGCAGATTCAGACCTCTCCAAAATATAGCTGCTCAGTTCAACGTGATAGATTGCAATACAATGCGTATAAGGAAAGGTTGTAAAAAATGCATGGATTTATGAAAATGTTGCCCAAAGCATTACTGCTGGGGAAATTATAGGCAAAATTGGAGTCCCTGGGCAACAGGGCAAGGAAAAACACGTAAGTTTGGAGAAGGTGAACCAAGGTGCCGACACCATTATTGGTGTGAAGTTTATGAAAGATTCTTAAGTTGGCCAATTCAGGCTTGATGCAGAATTTAAAAAGTTCATGCTTGATAACCTTTGCAAAAATGAGAAACTAAAACTGACAGCTTGCCCATCTCTGCGTGAGGTTTGGCACCTCTGGGTTTTAAACCCATGCGCCTGTGGTTTTCACTCCCCTTCTCTAGAGAAATTAACTGTCTATTGGCAGTTCTCATTTGAGGGACATGTTCCCTGCGCACGTCTGTTTCCAATAGTTTCTGCTGCTTTGTGGATAGCTTTCGGAAGAAATCATTTTGGTAATACGAGCCTCCCCTGACAAAAACCTTAAGTTGGGCTTCCTGCACTGGAAGTTGGAGTTGGGGAAGTCTGAACTCGGGTAGTGGGGCATCGGGGAGGCTGGGGTACGCTTGCAGAAGCCGAAGGAGAAATTGACCCAATTACGCTCAGCCAAGGATACGATCATATGTCGGTCAGAGGGTGATTTCTGTCGGATCTTCTCCAGCTTCTCTAGCTGCTTTATTTCATTTTTCCGGGCGCTGTTGAACTTTTTAATCTCAGCCTGTTGAATGCAAGGAAGAAAGTCTGTTGTGGCCCAAAGAGCTGAAAACATTTTGCACAGCCCAATATACCTGAGTGGCTTCTTTGCAGGTTAACATGTTAGGCAAACCTGGTTTGTAAACCCAGGGTCTGTAGTTCACTGAGTTGTGTGAATTCAGGCAGCTGTGGTTTATTCAAGAAAAGTGATTAAGAAAACCATGGTTTAGTGTGATAAGAGAGCTGTGGTTTGGGGTAGGTGCAAAAGTGAATGAGAAGTACATATTCCCTATATAGGAAACTGAACTGCGATCACCAATTAAAGTGACATCGAGGAAGAAGGTAGGAAAAGAGGCTGGGGCCATGCCCACTTTGCATCTTTGTACCACCATTGTGGCCCTTCAGCTTGGCACCCTGAAAAAGTTGCCCACCTGCTTTGTAAGGAATTGAGAAATTAAGGAGTGATTTTCAGTGGAGCACAGCTGTAGCTGTTAGGTTTCTCTCTGGCCCTGCGTGGCCACCAGCTGCTGAGGCTCTATGGATAGGAGATTGAACCTCTGGCTTTCATCGTTATGGGAGATCCCCCCCCCCCCCCT